CAGACCAGCAGCTTCAGAGCTGTCCCCACATACTGCACCTCAGCTAACTTCACCTCAGAGACAATCCACCTCAGCCACTACCTTGGCTGAGTGTTTACCTGCACATCAAATCCCCCAGCAACACAAACCGTTTCATTCCTATCGCTGCCCGAAGAGCTGGTCAGATTTTAAAACAAAACATTTGCTGTTCTTTGTCTTTTCTCAGAATGGTTGAATCTTCTTTATCCACATTTGGAATTGTCATCATCAGATGTTAGCATGTTACCTGGTGATAAACATCAACACCACATCTCCATGCCCCATTACAAAAAAAGTGACAACAGGTTTGTTTTTTCCATTCCATTTTCTGAAACCACACAATTTGCCATACACTGTCCCCTATATAAATATACTGCTGCCTGCCTTACTCTTGAAGTTTCCCAGGCAAGGCCCCTTTGCCCGTTTTCATTCAGTTCTGCCTCTGTGCTTAAAAGACACCCACAGATCTAACTCTGTTTTAAAAAAACACTTCCATGTCACAAGGCAAACAAATGCTGTCGATCTTCAAACACAAACCCAATGCTTTGTGGCCTTGCAGGGCACATACCTAGGGACTAAGTCCACCAACACATGCAACAAGAACTGTTTGCCTAAAAATATGCTTAGCACACCACTGACCCTAACACAGGACACAGTGGTGAAGCACAAAGCAAAATACTGCAGGAATAAAGCTCATGAGAGCAGAAGAAACAGTCAGGCCCTTGAGAGTGGCTTCCTGTGCCTAAACAGCTGCCACAACAGAGTTAATACTATGAAGGTATTTCTAGTAGTCTTAACACAAGATCGGAGTTGCCCAAGGACACAACACACTGCTGACCTGTCGCTTAACCTAGCATTTCCACCACCTGCCCTGTTTTATTTGTAGAAGAGGCATGTTGATAAGCTTGGAAACAAAACTCCACAGGCCCAACAAGACATCTAACCACACCAGTCAGCCATGAAGTCACTCTGGATACTCAGTAAACATTACACAAACAACAAGGCCTCATACAATATCCAGATGCATTTTATAAAAGCCTATTAGTTTCCTTTTTCACACTTTGTAGTCCTCCCCACCCCTTAATATAAATCTTACGTGGCAGGCAAACACACCACTGTGGTTCAGGATCATGTTTCTCATATGGGTAGTTTCATTGCCAGTGCTTCCAGTTTTCCCCTTCCCGGGCACCAATTCCCATCTGCCCAAACATTTAGAATAGCTGGAATGGCATAATTCACATAAAATCTCTTCCTTTTTTTTGTCATTTTAAGTTTTCCCTCTCTCCTGCACCCCAAAAAAGAGGCAGGCAGAGGGCTGGAAGGTCTGTGTGTCATTGCATATTACTGAGGATCCAACTTCTTAAGAATAAATCAAGTAATCAGAGGGGCGTGAGCAGGTTTTGTGGTGGTCTGCTGCTTCTTGCACTTGGCAGACTTCAGTCTTTGCCTGAAACTACACCTACAGAAGGACACTGTCATTACTTTCACATGATGTGACAGAGACATTTGGCAGACAAACTTCACCACCAGAACTGGGCATTTACTCTGCTATTCAAAAGGCTGATCCTTTAATACAGAATTAAACCAACTCTGTCCAAAGCACAGCTGTGTAACTCAAACACATGCCTGCAGAGCTGGCACTGCTAGAATGCACATCAGCCTACAAAGACATGGCTTGAGAGTTATCAGGAAAAAAACACTCCAGAAGCTGCCAGTACAGAGGGCGTGACCAGGTCTGGCTGAATGATTAGATAAACCTTTTCTGAGAGTGTTTGTAGAGAAAAAGCTATAATCAACACCTCTGAGTCTCTGGTAACAAATTAAGTCATTTTGAAGAGGCTTGGGCTACTCCTACAGTTACTCAGGAGCAGAGCTTGTCAGTTCAGAGCTCAAGCAACCTCTTAAATCTGCAATTTCAGCGAATGTGCTGGAGTGGCACAGGCCTGTTGTGCCTGTACAACTTTGCAGTTTCCCTGCAATCATCAGCTGGGGAAAAGAAACAAATCAAGAGAAGTCAGTCTAAGTGGGTCTCTACACGGCCCAGGAACAAGGAACAGCTTGCACCTGCAGCTGATTGAAGTATTTCCTACCACTTAAAGTTTTAATCCAGTTACTCACCATCAAATTTGTCGGTCAGCTGGTCTACACACATTCCTGTCATACTACAGGTCCTTTCAAAACAACTCCTAGGGCCTTTGGGAGTCACTGCAGTGACTCTCACATTTTACAGGAAAGAACACTCCACCAATGCCTGTTTTAGGAAGGCCCTTGTGACAGTCTAATGATGCTTCAAACCTATGTTACTGGTTTGCTAGTTTCCCCCCTATCCTCAGAACAATTACCCTCAGGAGAAGTTTGGTCTACCAGAGTAGTAACAAAGCCAGCACAGAACCAAGAGCTTGGAGTATGCATTTGTCAACTGGAACACTTTTCCCCTACCCTGAATCTAAGCAAATGCTGTTCCTTCCAACATTTCCAGCATGCCACATGTCAGGGAGCTCTCTGCTTTGTATCATCCGTCCCTGCACTCCCACAAAGAGCAGGGCAGGACAGGGCACTTACGCAAGGAGGATTCTCACTGCCATCCTCTCTTGCTAGATCCCACTTTTAAGTAGCATAAAGTTTGGATTTGGTAGTTTCTTTTTTTGTTTCTTTTTTTTTGGCAAACTAGGAATGAGCAACAGCAACGGTATTGGTCAGGTACTTACTCTTCACTAAGGTCCTCAGTTAGTTCTTTTGCTGTTTTCAGGGGACCTAACCTATATATGTATAGATTATGTGGATGTATCTCCCCATCTACACTCCAAGAGACTTATAAAATATACTATCTATATAATTACAAAACACTAGCAACAAAACTGTTCTTGCATTTTGGAGAAAGCCCTGACATCCGTGGTTTCTCCTGCTGTTAGAGGATCTCTGTCTCCAAAGATAGGAGATCAAGCTCACAGGACTAAGAGCAGCTCTAGATGACCACTTTGGCATTGGTCTGTTACTGCATTGAGAACTGCAGTTTCCTTCCATCCTTTTTTTTGCCTCTTCTTTTCTGCTGAGCTGTGCTGAAGCCAATAGCATTGCATAAGGGGTTTGGACGGTGGATCACACTAAAGCCACAGGGTGGTTTCATGAAAACACAGTGAAGCTGTTGCTGCTGCTAAGGCAAACACCCCAGTGAGCAAGAGGTGACTGAGCACACACACACCCCAGCCAGGCATGCTCACACTGTGTGTGATAAGGCCCAGGAACATTTGCAAGAACTAACACTGTCCATCAGGTGTCGAGGACCGCAGACACCCAACAAGACTATTTTCCCTTGGATACTTTATTCTATCCTAATGGGATGTGATTCCTATTTAATTTAGACTCTAAGGCCAAGTTTGAAAGACAGTTGGAATCCAACTTCCACAAGTACAGGAGCTTTACAGTACTCTATTTAGCCCATTTCAAGTTGTGCTGCAAGAGAAATAGAAGGAGAAGCTACCACAAGGTTTCATGAGCGTCCACTTCTTCCTTTCCTCAGCTGGACAGCTGCAGCAGGTACCTCTGGAAAGCATCTAAATGTCAAGAGTTTGACTGGACTTAACCCAGTGATCATCAGTGCAAAAGTCACTTATGTATCTAAAGGTGAGCAATCTGGGGAAGGTTTGAGGGCCGTAAGAACACTTTTAATTTCAGAGGAGTGACAGATTTTCAGAATACATCTTATACCTTTCCTGAAAGGGGCGAGAAACTGGGTGGAACACACCAGTCACATGTACACTGATAAGAAACTCAAGAAAAAATCCCATATGGTGCTGTGCCAGTGTCCTACATGCAACAGACATCAAAACAGAGTCACAACAGCTGCACCCTGTGTGTTCACCCTGTGGCTGTCTGCCCTAATCTGACCAAGAGAATCTTCTCACTCTAGTTTTCAGCACCAGTTAAAATATTCCTAAATACACATCTACTCCTATGAAAAGAGATTCTAATTTTGCCAGGCCTCTCCATTGCACTGTAAAGGAAGCAACTCAGCCCTTTGCCATCCTCTGTAGTTAAGTATCACAGAGGTGGAATTAAGCCAAGATAATATTTTCCTGGTTTATTAAAAAAAGAAATCTTAAAAGTATGGGACTTTTATTTAAAAAGTATTGGAGTAGAAGAGTGTGGTCATCAGAATTTATCTCCTCGCTACTCCTCTGCTACTAGTGGCATTGTTTCAAGCCTGTAAAAGGTGACATTCCACAAAAATCACTTAACATTTTTATTCTGGCCTTTGCCTGTCATTCCTTCCTCAGTAGGCACACCAGACACTGCACAGGCCATCCTAACTCCTTCCTGAAGAATGTTTGTACTCTGTAAACAATCCTCCTTACAGCATCACACATCACTAAAAATGAAGCTGTAGTGACAAGGTGCCTCCTGGCAAGACAGGGACAGCAAAAGTTCTTCCTAAAAAGACTTTTGTGTTTGAAGTTAAAATGTCACTATAATTGCAGTTACACCACAACCAGGAAGCTGTGAGAGAGTCACCTCCCATGTCCCACTTCTGTCAATCCTGTGGAAGATCAATTAATACAGGTGAAGAGCAGGTTTAATACTTGGTTACCCAGGACAGGAGCACATTCAGAAGGTACAAAAAGGAGTCAACAAACACCTTCAAGATACTAATTTTGTTAACACCCTGGAGTACACTGCTGCTTTCTCAGAGACCTGAAGTAACACAGCTGAAACAAACCACTAAGGAGGAAGGAAATTAGTACAGCAGTGGTGGTGTAGCAACCTGCTGACACCCTCACATACTTCCAGGACTAACATCACTAACTGTAATCACTACTGTCCCACTTCTAGGTTTGAGGAAAGAAAAGCAAGGTTGCCAAGCACACTCTGCTCCCTAACAGGTTTAGAGAACCAGAGCTGGTTTAGGCCTTACCTTGAAACGGATGACAGAAACCAC